TCTATGATTCTATGATTCTATGATGCTATGACATTAGCATAAGTGTTAGGGGACAGGGGGAGGTTGTGTTTCAGTGGTCATGAGGAGGCTGTTGTGCTTACATACAAAAGACAAAAAGTCCTTTTATATTACTGTGCAGCCCATGGGCACATAATCACCTACTACAGCAGAGCAGCTGTTCATAAAAAGAGAGTGCACAGCAGGAGCTAGGAGTGAGATATCTGTCATGCAGCATCATTGTGTCCATGTGTATAGTCTACAAGTTTTACTCAAGATTTAGCTTTCTGCAGTACAGGTGACATTGCTGTGCTACTAATGGGCACCAAGAAGCAGGAATTAGTGCAGAAGTATGTGGAGGCGGTCTTCAGCATGCCTTCATGCAGCTGCTTTTCCCTGCTGGCTGGCAGCTGGGGCTGTATTGTCCCTTGGAAGAGAAGAATTGTTGCTGTTGAGCTGAAAACATCAGCAGCGGTAAGTGGTACTCAGAGAATGCCAGACTGGAGTGGGAGCATGAAGAAGTCAGATTTGGCTGTTTAGTGGTCTAAGTAAATGGGATGAAAGTTGGCAGTGTCTAGTTCAGAAAACTGCAGGCCACCATTAGAGTAAACAGCTTCCTAATCAGGAGGTGTAATACAGTGTGATTACCCAGCAGGTCATGTCTGGAAACTCAATGGCCAAATGTTTAGAGGCATTAGAGGCTCATAGAGATAGATAGGGTCACCAAATGGCATTTTCAGAAGTGACTCTTATTACTTAGATTGCAATAAAATCCGTGGGAAGCAGACAGTGAAGTACTTCTTAATGGCTCCCTGAGAAAACTCTGTAAGGTGCCTGTTTTTATCAATAGGTGCCCACGTGCTTCTTAAAAACCTGGCTGCCATAGACATCCCCTCCAAGATAAGGCTTAGCAATGGTGAATAGCAGAGGTGGAGAAGGATTAAGACACAAATGCTGCAGTGTTTGAGCCCTCCCTATGTAGTGCCTGCACATGGCTGTATTCGCATGCCTGGTGCCACAGGAAGGTGGATAACACAGGGACGTGCCATCAGAAAGAAAGGATGTGGCACATGGACCTCCTATCTATGGTATCAAAGCAGAGAACAAAAAATAGTGCATTGTCTCAGATTCCTGTTTCCCTGAGCAGATGAAGAGAGGGGGACACGTTTAGTACCTTGTTCCTTAGCTCACAACAGCAAATGTAAAACCTGGCTCCAGGGCTAAATAAAGAAGAAAACCAAACTAAGCCCTGCTACCAGCTGTGATGGAGAAAGGCCTGCTGTGTTGTCTGGGAAGATTATCAGTGTTACTGGCTAAACCCACATGAAATTGTGGGAATGAAAAGTGGAAAGGTAAACTTCCAACAAAAGTAACCAAAAATATGAAGAAATTGGAGATTATTCTTAAAAAAAAAAAATGTCTTCAGAATTTTATTGTAGATATTATCTTGCAAAATAATCTAGCAATATTGTATCTTACAGTATGAGCCAATTATTGATACGTAAGAGAGAGAAGAGAACAGGACCTTAAAAGGGGAGGCTTAGAAAGCCTTCAACATGTCAGGGACTGTAGTTTAAATGCAAAGCTGGTGAACATTCAGATGCATAGTAGCAATCAGGCAGCCACCAAGAGAATTCATCAAGGAGCACAGAGGCAGATGAAGCTGAAGAGCAGAATGCTTGTGAGAAAGTAAACGCCAAGATGTGAACAGAGGAGCTGAATTCAATGCAGAGGAAGGCCAGCAGGTCCTGTGGAGTAAAACCTGATGATGAAAAGAGGGGTCATAGGTGGACTGGCAAGTGCACCATCATGTCGAAGCCTTCAGTGGAGAGCAGCTAAAGAAAAACTGGAGCACAATCAGGAAGTGGGCACTGATTTAGAGTTTGGATGCATGTGATGTACAAAGTGGCAAAAAATGAATGGTTTCTAGGGTTCAGGCTGGCACCAGATGCAGCAGTATTACAGTAACAGGCCATGGGCAAAAAACTGTCAGATGGATAGAGGACATACAGGACTATGGAGATTTCTTTGGGATTATTCAAGGGGAAAAACCCCATGATTTCTTAACCCCTAGGACTGTATGTTAGTACAAGTGTCACAGCACATGGAAAGTACTTGGGCTTATGCTTCCAGTAATATAGAAGACACAGAAGCCATCACTGTCAGCACAAACAGGCCTTTCCATTTGCAGCCTGAGGCTGTTCACTCAGCTCTGTTTATTTGCGAGGTAAAACCAAAGTGGTTTGTCCTACCAAGAAAGGGCAGGGACCAATCTGTTTTCTTGGAGCCAATTTCTCTAGCTCAGAGCAGGCACACACTGGTGGCACAACATGAAGAAGTTTGAATCAGACTTCTTGGATGAGGCAGGTCTTTCTGCCCAGCATCTTCCACAATTCCTAACCCCATTAACCAGCTCAAAATAACAAATGAGGAATCATTCTGCAGCTATGCCTATGTTTTTTAGTGGGTTGGTTTTTTTTCTGTAGGTTGATGTTATCTCACTGATGTGACAGGCAGGATTAATAAAGCCTTAGTCACAGAACTGGAAAGAACGCTTACTTTTGCACATAGGACTAAGAGCTGCCTGGAACCTTCTGTGTTTGAGCAAGCAGCCAGAAAGTGAGGGGAAATAATGAGAAAAAGGAGATGTACTTGTCAGTTCAACTTTGTGATTGAGCATATATGTCAGTGAAAGAGGAGACAGCTTGCTGCTTGTTGCCAAAAGCCATGGAATCACAGAGCAGTGTCTTCATATTTTGCTGCATGATTTCCTAATGATATTGTGTTAATATACAGCAAAGCGATATAGCTTAGCAATAGACTGAGGAGACATGACACTAATAATTACGTAGGCTTTTTTGGAATCAGGTGACCTTGAAAACCATTAATTAAGTAGCAGTGTGAGTCTTGGTTTTTCTGTGTCTTGGTTTAATTCGGTGCCATTTGTAAGTGCAAAAAATGTCCCTGTGTTTCTGTTCCCAAAGTAAATCAATATTTACTGTTCATTAGATAGCATTTGGAAACAGAAAGCTGCACTCAAAGTCTGCAAACTGCTCCGAGTCTTTGCTGTATGTAACAGACTGAACCTGCAATTTGTGCATAAACTTCAGACCCTACTTGTAAAGCCATTCTGCATATGGATGTGCATGCAGCATTTGGTTAGACTTACTAAAAAAGCCTTTTGCTCAAGTAAATGATTACTTGTCCCATCAGCCCAGTTTTGGCCTGTCTTCGCAGCAAGATCTGTTGTTACAGGCCTTTGCATTACTTCAGGAGAAGTTTCCAGTCAGTATTCATTTCTGACATAGATGAATGAGGACTTCGGTGAGACAACTCAAAGGAGTTTGTCCTACATACTTTCACAGAGCATTAAGCTTTGAAAAAATGAATTATTATGTTTAGAATTGCCTTTCAACATTAATGGCTGAAAAAGATCTGCCCAGTTCTTTACATGAGAGTAGGGATTTACTTGCTGCAGTAGAAGTGGAGTGGACTCCTACTTTCTCTGTCCAGAGGAACTCCTGTTTTGGCTTGTGTTGTCACCTTTTTTCTTAAGGTGAGGAACTTTCCTGATGATAAAAACAGTATATATAGATGAGACCACATTTTGGAAATTTAGTAGTATCTTCTTCTCCATAGATCCATAGCCATTAACCAAAAGACTACAAATTTTTAAACAAGCTTTTGAGGGAAAAAGGTTACTTTTATCGGAGAAGGTACTACTGTAGAGATACACATGTTGAGCTAGTGTTACAAAGTAGTCAAGTAGTTTTGTGTTCTGAAACTTTTAAGATCTGCACACAAGGTAGAACCACATTTCTCTGACGGGTAAATGAAAATGCTGTTGATAACCTAATATCCCTTGTGCCAGAAATGTATTTTTGGGAATGTGTAAGACTAAAAGATGTCTTTTATAATGTAGTAAAAAGGTCCAGGAATTGATAAAAATGTGAGGTTTTTTTTTTTCCTCTGTGCTTTTCCTCTTTGCCTTCCCCTGATAGCATTTTAGGAAATGATGGGCTTCATCTTAATCTTTGTATTTTCTTCTTTGTGTATTTTCAGGATTCCTCTTTGATTGGAACAGCCACAGTGGCTGCTCCCAGGACAAGTGCAATAATTGGAGATCAGGGAACATCACCGAAGGTCCAGCTCCCCCTCAATATGTAAGCAGCTGTGTACTCTTTGTTTCTAGTCATGAAATCCGAAAGCCTGAATGTCAGCTCTGGAGCATTCTGAAAAGAGACAGATCACAATTTCATACATGACACAGCCTCTACTGAAATTGAAAAATGAGTAAAGAAAAGCAAAACTTTGTCCTTTCTCTCTGAGCCCTTTTAGACTTCTGGTGTATTTATTACAGCTGTATGAATCACTGTGAAGTAAATGGAATTCCTCTCAGCTAGGAAAAAAAACTTCCTTCATTTAGAGCTCTCAAAGAGGTGTAGTCCCATGCAATCAAACACCTGATCCATTCATCATTAACCAGAAAAAATTACCCAATTGCTTTTTTTTTCAGTGCCATAAATAAAGGCAATGAATGAACTTCGTATCACTGGCATATAGGCTTATTGAATAGTGTGTGGAATAATAGAAGGTTGACTAGATACAGAACAAAAAGAGTGTCATTATAATAAATCTCTTCTAGCCTGGTTGGTTTATCTGGTACCTGTCTAGTTAAACTACTGAACCCTTTCTTCTCATCACATATACTTTGTGAAAGCAGTAGAACTACATAGACACACGTATGCACACTGGTATTTTACGGTTTTATGATATGGCTAAAACAAGGTCTGAATTCACAAAATCCTGAAATAGCATAGCAAACCTGCTTTAAGGAGGATAGAGGAGTTGGAACAGAATCAAAACAAGCTTGTTCTTGGCTACTAAGGTGAGATCTTCATACCTGAGGGGTACTACACATCACAGACTGCACTAGAGAGGTCTTACCATCATCTTCTGGTCACTCTGTGCAGCCTGCGTGGCACATAGCGGGGTACAAATTTATTTCAACTGTTGCTCAGACTAGGAAGAAGTAACTGGCAGTATTTCCACTATTTAATTGCTGAATCAGAACCTTTTCCAGCTCTTTGGCAATGCCTCTGCCTCTGTGCCTCAGCAAGTCTCCCATTCTCCCTCCACGCTTCTCCCTTGTGAAGCAGCCTTGTAATCCGGTCTGCCATTCTGCATTTGCGAGCCAAGTTCCCGTCAAAGAGGAAGCGTCATCTGAAAGCTGTAGCAGAACTGGGGAGGTACACCCCTAGACAGAGCCCTGGGGCTTCTGCATTATAAGTAGTCACATGCAACTCTGCGAGGCCAAGAACATGAGCCATCTTCTCACTTAGGCCTTTACTTAGGGAACTTTTAATAAACATTTTGGATTCTTTTAGGTCGTGCTCCCTAACCCTTAGCCTCACTGTTTCATGTAGCCCAGAATAACTTGCTATTACATTTTGCAAGATTTCAGATGATTTTAACACTTTCTTCTCAGTTGTAGAGAGTTTGCTGGTGAAGTTTCACACCTAAAATCTAGAGAATGGTGAAACACATCCAAGTCCAAAGGCTTTGGTTTAAGGCAAAATTAGTCTCAGCAAACTGGACTACTAGACCTGATTCCATGCTAGAGGAAAAGCCCTGAAACACTTTCTGGGTAGGGAAGCTGCCTGCACTCAAATTTTCAATCATGTATGAGAGCAGTCATCCCACCAACTCTCCCATAGCCCCCTTTCTCTGCACATGGGGCATATGCCTGTCCCCATGGAGTGGGAATGCCAGCCATGGCTAGGCAGCGGACCCAAGCTGGGCTTATCACAGGGTTTGGAGAAGCCCCTACTTGTTGCAGACTAATAGAGAGCACCCCAGCACCCCGAGGGACAGGCATCTTCCCTGCCCTGCATAGGTGGTGGGATCACCGGTCCATAAGGAAAGCACTGATCACCTCCATTGTGCCAGGGTTACGCTATGTCATCATCACATACAAGTTTTCATCAGTTTAGCCATACAGAGTTTGGTCAGTTTTGGCATGGGCTGTTGTACACCTTCTTTAAGTCTCTGCGAGGATTTTGATACTCTCTCCAGAAGATGTTTAAGTTCACTGCGATACTGGATATTCAGGTTTAATGGAGGGTGAGCTGGGGGAATTTGCAGGGAAGAACAAAAAGAAACTAGTAGGAAAGCTGGAGATAGTTGCAAGGGAAAGCAGCCTATGATCCACTTAAGGTAATTTTCCTTGCACCTTCTTCCAGCATCTCAACTTGTAAATTACATTATTACATGTAGCGCCTTGGGAAAAGGGCTAAGTGAGTCTGTCTAAATGCTCTGTCCTTGACCTACTGCTTTATGCATAGCCTTGTATAAGCAGCAACTTAAAAAGGGGTAGTCAAAGCCACACTTTCTGCTCCCTCGAGTGAGTGCAGTCTGGCACTTTCCATTATGTCCTATCAAAGTGCAGTGCTGAAGGATTAGCACTGAAGCATGCAACCTTATTTCACATCAGGGTGATGCAATTTAATATTCTTCAGTTCATATGTAGCCTCATGATTTTCATCAGGTGAACAGCTACAGACCTGTTCAGGACCACCTGATTGTATAGGCTGAACAAAGGATGTGCAGGATGGTTTCTCCCATCTGTTGACTAATGAAATACAGTTTCTGATTTGGTCTTTGTACCACATGCATGTGGTAAACAGAGCCTAAGCATGCCCCAAGGAGCTGTTACCAAATATTTCATATTCTGCTCATTACTGCTGTTTATTTACTACTTTCCGAATAAAAATAAGGAAATCTACAGGTACCGTAAAGGAGCAGAATCAGAAAAACTAACAGGATTTATTCCTCAATTATATTTCCTGGGGAGCAGAAGTAAAAAGCCATCTATAATTTTTATTTGCAAGTCTACAATCACAATGGCTATAGTTTTCATTATTTCCCTGGTTCACCGCCATAAGGTGAGCAGCAAGCCTCTTCTCACCCACTCCACCAAGCCTAAGAGCATTCTGCCACACTTTGTAGTGTAAATGCACTGTCTGTAAGTGTTTCCCCATTGTCCTAATCTCTCTGCACTGCCTGTAAAGCACAAATAAAATTAAAAAAACAAGAAGGCACAATCAAGAATTGCCAGAAATCCCTTTTTGCATTTGTAGAAAGGTGACAGCACACACACACACACAAAGATATTTGCAAAGAAAGTGTGGTTCTATGTATGCACTCTTCTTATCCTATCCCAACTTTCCATTATTCCCCAAAGTGCAAGCAATCATTCTTAATTTTCAACAAGGATCTCTCTAAACAAAGAGAATATCTTTAGGGACTTTAAGTTGTAGTGATTTCACAACATTAGACACATCCCTGAAGTAGTAACGGAAGAACAAAAGAGAGATAAAAAGAAAGATTCTAAACAAAGGGAATAAATAAAACCTGTAATTAAATAAATAAAAAGTTCCACATATTGGGTCCCTTATTAAAGATTTATCAGAATACTTCCATGCAGTGCATCCAAAGCCAAGTTCTACTGTAAGAATCCCTTTGCAGAACTTGGTCTCTGTCAATTTTGGGCTTACCCACAGAATACAGAAATTATCAAACTAGATCAGAACAGGTTGGTGTGTTGTTTCTAAAACTGGCCAGCATAAATAGCATCAAGAAAGCTGCAAGAAAAGCTGCTTTAAATGATTTTGAAGTATCTTACCCATAAGAAAAGTTTCTTCTGGAAATCCACAGTAGAAGTGGCTCCCACCCTGAAGCATATGAATGTATACTTCATCCAGATGTTAGACTCTGCAAAGCCTTCCTACTCAAATCCTGGTTATCCTGTCTGTCTCTGTAATTGCCTTATCCTTCTGAAATTCCTGCTAAGTCCTTCGGCACTGCTTTGTGGCAGTGTTCTGCTTTGGTTGTGCCCTGAGTGAGATGTCCTATGAATTTTTAAATTACTCCCTCCCTTTACTCTGATTAGTTATTCCCTTATTGCCTTAGCATCCAGTTGATCTTGTCTCTGCTGTTACTTGGTTGGTATGCTGTAATGATGTTTCTTTTTAACCACTGTTTCTGAGCAGTGTCTCTACTGACTTTTTGCTCTGCGGGGTAGGACAAACCAAGTGGGACAGGCAGTGGTTGTTGTCAGCTGTGTGCTTTCTTCTTGTGTGACCTCCCCCACAGCTACCTAGCCCTGTACGCCTACAAGCCTCAGAAGAACGACGAGCTGGAGCTCCGCAAAGGTGAGATGTACCGGGTCATCGAGAAGTGCCAGGACGGCTGGTTCAAGGGGACGTCTCTGAGGAGCGGAATGTCCGGTGTCTTCCCAGGCAACTATGTGACACCTGTTTCAAGGTGAGGACCACTGGCCAAGGTGGATAAGCCTGAGCTGGGCTGAGGTGGATGCTGCATCTGGAGGTTGCTGATAACAATGTAGCTCTGCTTTTAAATTGCATTCCCCTTCCAGAAATTTTCTGGTGGCATTGCAGCCTGGGGTAATGAAACTTACTTCTTCTAGCATTGGAATTTTCCATGTTCTCAGAAGACTTCACTAGGGTTGGATGATGGCATTTACAACCTCTGACTCTGCGAAGTCTGATGAGCGCAGGTTTTACTATTGTAAAGAATCTTTTGATTTTTTTATTGTTATAAAGCTAATGGGCATGTAACAGGGATAAACAAACTAAGGAATGCTTTTGTCTTGCTTTTCAGTAGCTCTTCATGTAGGTTTTGTTTTTCTCATATCAAAGATCTTGAATTGTTTAGATCTGGACTAATGTTTAAACTGTTAAAATTCAGAAGTGGTAGGAGAGTTCATCAGGAGAGTTATCTGATTTTAGCTACCTCTGTCTCAATTTCAGAAGATGAGAAAAGAATAGCATGTTTGAGGAGGAATGCCATTTGTCAGCGTTGGGCACTGGACAACACCAAATCAAAGGTTATTTCTGATCTAGAGCCCACTCTAGAGAAGTGGGCTCTAGCTGAGGAAAAAGTTCATCAGTATGTCACAGACTGTTTTGCCCTACGTGCTCTTTGCAGCTAAATGTTGCTATGTGTATACCCATATCTGTTTTAGAGCAACCGTGGGTTTGCAAACCGAACTCACTGCGCATATGCTCTCGGTCTCTCCTCCCACATGCACAGTCTCCACCATCTTTTCCAGGGAAAGGTGCCTCTCAGCTCAGACAGTGTTGATCTTGAAAAATTGATCCAGGTTCGTTCCATTTTCAGTTTATGTCAAGTTTGTAATGTGTGGAATGAGCAAGACCAAAAGTTAAGAGCAGTTAGAAGTTAGAAGACGATAACTAAGCCTGCTGACAGACTTAATGTTGCCTCTCATTTAAAAATATAACACATTAATTCATGGATTCTTCACTGTTCATCACTTAAACGTATTTACCTGACTTTATAAAGCTCCTTGGCTGCCTTCACTCCTTGCCTTTTCAGCCCTTAATTAGTAAAGAAGTTTGTGCTGAAGGGTTGGTGATCTGAATCAGCAAGACTTTATTAAATGCAGCATGTCACAGCTAGAAGAAGACAGAGAAGTGCTAAAGGGCAAAAGTGCTTTCCACAACACCAGCAAGCAGCTTTATGGTTATATTTATGATCCTGTGAGTTAATTAAGTTCCTGTGTAAATCACCCTCAGCGAGAACAGCAAGGAAAATCTGATAGCAACAAAATCTCCTATTTGCTGCATTTTCAACTTACTTTGTTCCCCTTTGACAACAAAGGATTAGATTCATACCTAGTGTTCTGCCACTCCCCACAAAACCCAAGAAGAAGTTGCCTGTGAATTTAATAACACAGAACTAGATTTATAAGTTGCCAAAGCACATGTGTGAGGAGAGCATGGTAGAAAAAGGACAAAATCCGTAAGATGGACAGACAGGCACAGGGTAACAGAGAAAAATTGCCACATCCAGCATCTGTCCAGCTCCATGGAAGCCACAGATCATTTCTGTACCTGTCAGTGTGCATGTTTGCCAGAACACAACTCTCAGTGGACTATTAGGTGTGCTTTTCTGGCAAACTCAATCTAGTGCAGATGGCCAAGTCAGCTCCAGCTGAACCTTGCTGCTACCCTGCCAGCTCTTCACAGCAGATGACAGACAGTCAAGATTTCCATCTGGTGGGATTCCCAGCTTTTTTCTACCTGGAGGCTGATCAAAAAAAATTTGAAGGAAAAAAAAGAACCAAAATAGATTCATTTAGCAAAATGTAATCCAGGCAAACCTTGTACCATGAGATGGTCAAGTCAATGACACCAGTGTTGGTTTTCCTTCTGTGATTCTGGAGGAGAAGGGATTGGGCAGAGGGGATGGTTATCTTTTGCACTTTCGGACCATACCTTCCAGCCTGTGTTTTGGTCTCTTTCCATCAGAATTTCACTCTTTCGGCTCTTCTCCTTTCCACTCTTTTCTTAGGGTTACTTCTTCTGTGTTTCATGTCCTCTAAAACAGACCAGATTGTTCAGCATATTCCTTCTTGCTGCTCTTCTCCTCTCTGTGTTCCCACACAACAATTTTGGGACCCTGGAAATTCACACAATCCCACTCCCCATAGGTTGGTCTTCTACCCTTTCTGTTATCCTCTCCTCTCTTGCTAACACTGTCTCATTTCCATTTTCTCCACCACACTTTGTTCTGTATCATATCGCCTCTGCTGTCCTTTCCTGGAGGAGGACCTTGGCACATGGAGCAGCCCAGGAGAGCAGAACAGCATAAAATGATCCCTCTGTTTCATGGCATCTACTGTTGGCAAAGGAATTACTCAGGAACCTGAATGAGAAACTCGGAGAAAGAGCTGCTGAGCAGCAACTGAGGCTGCCCATTGGTATCCTTCTGTCTTCCCCAGTGTCCTCCTGCCCTGGTCAGAGAGTTTCTAGCTCAGTGGTAAGAGGACCAAGACCTGCTCTAGGCTGAACTCATTGCATAGGAAGTCTCCCCAGTCACCCAGATGAAATACAAACTATGCATACAGTTTAAATGAGCAATGAAAGAGGGGTTGATTATCATTTGGATTTCCTTTTCAGTAAGGTCAGCTGCATTCCCTTCCCTTTTGCATTTCCTTAGCAAGTCTAAGCTGGACCTGGTTACATCAATAGGGTAAGTGTTCGGTCAAGACAAGCCCTTCCAAGTCTGCTGCTTTACAGTCCTCTGCAATAGCCACACACAGATTTGGTGTTATCCATCTTCTTTTCCCCCTGTGGGGCCGTATGCAGGTTTGGTCCTAAGAAAAGATGTCTGCGTCTGGTTTAATTATCACTCCATTAGTGCCTGTAAAATAGCCTCTGGCACATGAAACGACATTTGGGAGATATCCATTTCTTCTGAATTTAGATTTGTGGGTTTACTAGAAACTATACAGACAGAAATGCGGCTTAAGGAAAAATGTGATGAGAAAAATTATCTTTTCCATTTTTACCCTGCACATCTTCCCATGGAATAAGGGCATGAAAATGTCCTCCAGCATGCTTACAACCGTGTCCTATGAAGATAAATATATATCTGTATCTCAGTTTGCTTTAACACCTGAGAGGGTATCATGTTGAACCCTTACGTAACTGAGGGTGCTTATCAGCATTGTGGCTGGGCATCAGTGTCTCTGCAGCATGCTTATGCTGTGCCTTGTCTCCATGCAGGGTGCCAGTGGGAGCTGGGCAGCCCAGGAACAGCGGAGCTGGGGGAGCTCCAGCAACAAAAGGAGCCCCAGGAGCCATCCACCCCGTCGGGGCTGGTCACACCAATGTTGCCACGGCTGTCAGACCGGTTGTTCCTATCACTGCTCCTCAGACACATCCCCAGCTACAGGCGGCCTCTCCACAGCTGAATAACTGCTTGAGGTATTCAGCTCAGCAGCCAGCCAGCCAGACCCGCAACGCCATGCAGATGGGTATGTGCACAGTGCCTCTTGCCCTGTGTTGGCAGGATTGATGTCGTACCCCTTGAGTGCAAGCCTTTCAAGTCTGCCCATCCCTGAAGCTTTCTTTCTCGTTTCAGTCACAGTTCAGTCAATGTGGAATAGAGTATGTTTTATTTGCTTGTAGTATTTATGGGTTTCTATTGATCTCTGGGAACCACGTTGTGTTTATCAGATTGTTCTGTTGCTACAGCTGAAATAGATTATAATGTTTACAAATATTTATACAATTTATCTGAGTGGAAGCAAGCACCCTGCATAGTGAGGAGATTAACAGTTCTGAGTCCGGTTGGCTTGCTGATGGAAAAATACTGCCCTTATTGCAGGGCAAGTAATTCAAGACTTAAAATTAAGAAGTATTTCACTGGGCTTCAGGGATGAAAGGTATTTATTAAGCAGAATGGGACCCGGTGTTAGCAATAAAGCAAAAGATCTGAAAAGTACTTCCACCTTTTTGAAATAAGAATAAGTTTCTCACACCAGGGGGCCTCTCTTCTTTCTAGATTCCCTTTCTGATGTACAGCACTATTTTCTAGAGTACAAT